CTTACAGAATTTTTCTAGACCTCCATGTCCCGCAAAGGTTTCTTATAAAGTTTTTTCTAGGCTGCTAGGTGTGTGTTCTATCTTGAGATGTCCTTTACATAACCCTATCTATGCCATCTAGTCTACAATTGATTTCACTTATCTCTGGAGATTTTCATGAAGCTGTTTCTATTTTGGGCTCCTTGTTTCGATATGTGCCCTCTTTTCAGTTCAAGCCTAAAATTTAGGCTGTCATAATCAATCTTTCATTACTCTAACTTCTGATGTCTCCAAATCCTTTGATAACAGACTCAAGCCAATCCTTCATTCTGATGTGTCCTCTTCCTACCGCTTCGCTTGTCACATACGGTTGATCAACGTCATTCCTACGGTGTAAGGCTTTGTGCATACTTTTCAGTTTACACTTTCTTTGATCCAAATTCCTCAGTTCTTCTCTTTTTCAGGAAGATCTGCGAATTTTTTACCATAAAAATTACTCATGTATTTATGCCTCTAATCAAGTTTCTGCTGTGGACTTTTGTAAACATATCTTCTGTTACATTCCTTTCTTTCATTTTATTTATATAATCCAGCTCTTGAAGAAGCAGTAGAAATAGAATTTTCAAATCAGATTCTTTTAAGGATCAAGCGATAAAAAATCTCCTCTAAATTTTTTAAAGTTATTCCTATTTGAGAACAGTTGTTATTTTATTTTATAATGCGTTTTCTTTATATTGCCGCAACACCAATCTTTAACTTCATTTTTGGGCGGGGCAGAATTAATTTCAACTCATATTTAATTTCAACTCAGAATTAATTTCAACTCGAAACTAATTTCAACTCGGAACTAATTTCAACTCGGAACTAATTTCAACTCGGAACTAATTTCAACTCGGAACTAACTTCTGGTGGCGACCGCCGAACTCTTTTTTCTCCGCCATCTGACATTTTCTGATTACCACCTGACATTTTCTGATTTCCACCTGAAATTCTCTAAGCTATCTCAATATCAAATTCAGTACCAGTAATTCTCCTAACTATTCTGTGGTTTGTCGACTAAGGAAAGGATCCATGCTTTTATAAGTCTAATGGGTTTTTATATTATAAAGAAAAAGCTTCACGGAAATTGATAACTTTGATTTTAAATCGAATTGTAATTAGTTCCGAGTTGAAAATAGTTCTAGGTTGAAATTAGTTCCGAGTTGAAATTAGTTCCGAGTAAAAATTAATTCCTAGTTGAAAATAGTTCCGAGTTGAAATTGGTTCCGAGTTTAAATTAGTTCCTAGTAAAAATTAATTCCGAGTTGAAATTAGTTCCGAGTAAAAATTAATTCCGAGTTGAAATTAGTTCCGAATTGAAATTAGTTCCGAGTTGAAATTAGTTCCCAGTTGAAATTAGTTCCGAGTTGAAATTAATTCCGAGTTGAAATTAGTTCCGAATTGAAATTAGTTCCGAGTTGAAATTAGTTCCGAGTAAAAATTAATTCCGAGTTAAAATTAGTTCCAAGTTGAAATTAGTTCTGTCACTCTCCTTTTTCGTAATGCTTTGCCTTGAAGAATATGCTGGGTTCAATATCAACCATTTTTCATGAAACATGTCATTATTTCTGTAATAATTTCTGTATTATTATTCCAACTTTTCATAACCATTACTATATATTTATCTACCAAACCACTTTCTCCGATCTTAGCATGAGCTATTAACAGGGGGGTCGCTGTAAGGGTCTTCTTCACCCACCGAATTTATTATATACGGAGCTCTCCACTCTACTACATCTCAAGTTTCTTAATGTAACATTAATATAAAATACAAATTTTATTATAACCTAGATTATGTACAATAATGGATCATATGCAATAGAGGTGAACAATTCAACTAGAAAAATTAAAAATAAATACAATGTATAAAAATTAGAGACTCGTCATAATAGATAATTCCATGGCTCTCCACAATTTCCTTTTCTTTGTAGCTCTTAATATATTTTGTCTTTTTGTTATTTGTTCTAAACATTATTCCACCATCCAAGGTCACGAAGTAAGTAATACGTTGTTATCCGCTGTCCATCGTCCCTTCAATCTGTCATATGTGTATCATATTTTCCAATCCTTCTTTTCTCATTATTTGCCCTGGAAATTTCAGCTGTCCTCTTCTGGCATTAGGTATGAGTTTCCTTTTTGTTTGCATTCTCTCTAAAGCTTCGTTGTTGTTTACATGTTCGTTCCATGGTACTCTCAGCATCCTCCTATAGAACCACATTTCTGCTACCTCAAGTCTCCACTTCATCTGTGAGGTGATTGTCCAGTATTCGCTGCCATAGACGAGGACTGATATTACGCAACAGTTCAGTACTCTTTTCTTTGTTTCTAACGAAATTTTTGTTTCTTGGAGGGCATCTTTGGTCATCTCAGTGTGTCTTTGGATTTCCGTGTTGCACTTTCCATCCTCCGTTAAAATACTTCGCAAATATTTAAATTGATATTCTTGCTTGATTTTGGTATCGCCAGTTTGTTATTTGCTCTTGGGGCTGTCCATTTTTCTAACAACCATGCATTCCGTCTTCTTGCAATTGATATTTAGTCCTTTCTTCTCGCTTTCCTTCACCGTATTGAAAGAGAAAAAGAAATTAAAATTTTATTAGAAGTATGGGGTCTGCATCCACACTCATCAATTTGCAATTTGCGCGTCAGGCGGCCCCTTTTGCTGACAACCACGCATTTTGTCTTCTTGCAATTGATATTTAATCTTTATGTCTCGCTTTCTTTAATTTCCTTCCGTATTGAAAGAAGAAAAGAAATTAAAAGTTTATTAACAGCATGGGGTCTGCATCCACACTCACCAATTTGTAATTTGCGTGTTAGACTGCCCTTTGGCTCACAACGTTGCATTCCATGTTCTTGCAATTTATATTTAATTCTTTCTTCTCGTTTTCCTTTACTACATTTTGTAGTAGTTCTTGCAGTTTCCTTTCTGTACCTGCTATCAAAACTGTGTCATCTGCATATCTTATATTGCTAAGTCCGTCGGGGAGACATACACCCTTTTCTATTTTTGCATATCTATTGAATTCATTTTCTATCCGTATGCAGTCGGTTTGCTATCAGTATAGGTTCTGGATTAGTCTAATATCTTTTCCAAAGGTCACTAAGGATTTCCAACAATATCAAACGCTGCAATACTCGAAAAGAAATTGTCGAAAGATTGGCGTATTTAGAGCCTGAGTTTCAATAACACTTAGAAGTTTCTGAGAGATTCGAAAGTGAACATATATTTAAATAATTCTCAGACACCAATGTTCCTAATTTATTAGGCACCAAATATTTCATGTATTTGGGCAAAAGACGATGTAAATCAACAGACGTCTCGACCGTTAATATACGTTACTAGAGATTTTTGCAATCCGCTGACGCTTGTTAAAATCCTCAGTGTATTTAGTATTGTTGAAGTCATCACTAACATTTTTGTCGAGATTTACAAACTCTACGTCTTGTCCAACTTCACAAAACCATCGGTGAAATTAGAATAAATTGATTTGTTTGGAAAATACTTTGACAAAAACCTTATTTCACGGTTTAATAATTTCTTTAATTTAATTTAATTTTATAAGACTTCCTGGTAAAAAAATATTTATTTTTTCCTTTTTAACAACGAAAAATAAATTTTTATGATTTTTTACTCTTGAGCATGCAACATACAACTGGACATGAGTAAATATTTATTGCTGGAACCAAATTCCAAATTTTTCAATTGTTTGGCCTTTTAATTTTTTTATAGTTCTCGCAGGCGCAGGGCGAACTGGAAACTAGATTCTTGTATATAAAAGCTTAAAGAAAAGATACGCAAAAAATATTGCATTTTTTTAAATAAGTATTTATTATTTTAATTGTTAAATTATTAAAATAGTCGGAGTATTTTATATTTTAATTAATAAAACTTTTAATTTTTCAAAAAAAAAATACAATTTATTGTACTAAGCTGTATTTTGTACCCGCTTACCTAACCTACTTGCACTTATCCCTAAAATTTATTTTCGATTGGTCAATGTATGACTATTTAGAGGGTGTGACGGACGAATTAACGGAAGTCAAGGAATTTTATATATAGATTAATTTACTACTTTAAACACGCACTGTAGAGTAGGGGTTAACGTACTGGTTCTGAAAATAATAGCTGCTATTTTCCACCGAGGGTTCCGTATACTAGTTTTATATTCTACTGCTGTCTCAATATAACAAACATATTCATATTTTACTAATTTAGTTCAAAACAAGACATGCACAATATTGTTGTTTTTTGTTTTGTTAGTTTTTTTTGTTTTTTTTTTTGTTTTGTTTTTTGTTTTTTTGACATCGTCAATTGTTTTATCAATAAATCCCACTGACTATGATGGATTCGGCACACTTGTGGGTAGTTAAAAATAATCATATCATCAACTATTATATATAAGTCCAGATGTTACTTACACATCGTCAGCTGCTATGTTTCTAAAGTTTTATATTTTACTAGTACATTTGTCATTGTCTGTTTGATACTAAAATTGTTCGTTGTACTCTTTGCACTGAATTGTTGAGGTCGTCGTTAGATGTCGATGCCGACTTCATCTCAGGTTATCAACGACAGACCTATATCTCGTAGGACGCATTATTCACATCGGACAACGAGAGCGTTATGCAAACCTGTTTAACAGCATTTTTATACATTGTTATGTGTAATAGTAACGGTATAAACATACCAATAGTAGTAATAGTTGATTTATGCGTTTTTACGGCTTATCAACCTCTAAGCAGGTTATTTAAAGCCCGAAAAATAATTCTAGATTCTAAGGATTTTTTTAGATACTAATAATTTTGTGGCACAAGTCTTACTAATTAACCCATAGCTGGGAGGAGAAGACGTGGATTCATACCTTTCCTAATGGTATTTGCGTGTAAGTTAATCTAACGGACCCAAATGGAATTGAAACTCGGTTTATCGATTAACAATTCAGTGCCGTTATCTATTACACCACCTGCACATCCCTAGTTTACAGCACCTGATTTTTTCCAGGCAGTCAACCATCTAGGTACTGAACAGGCTCGACGTTGCTTATCTTCGGTGATTGTACGGGAACCGGTGTATCAACGAAATGTGGCCGTAAGTAGTAATAATAATCTTAGGATTGTATACTAAACCTATGACTAAGGCTTGCATTGGTGAAATATTTTCTAACAACTTAATAAATACACGAGAATGAAATACTCTTTGAAAAGTAAAAGTTTTATTTCATACACACACACACACACACATATATATATATATATATATATATATATATATATATATATATATATATATATATATATATATATATGATTAATACAAATAAAATGTTTCGCTTAGCCATATTCAGCACCTCGACTCTAGAATTCTGTAGATTAACTTTTTAGTAATTGTTCAATCCACGCTTCACATGATTGCGTATATGTATCAAGTTTTCTCTTATGCAAGTTTCGTTGAAGACAAATGAAATTCTTTATTTAAATTTTTTTTTTCTACACTCCAGACCATTTTCTGGTTTTCAGAGAGATTTCTGAACCCATTTGTCTTTCATGAAACGATAACCAAAGAACTTCTTGTAGGTTGATAGGATTGTGTTTATAGGTAGACAAATGTGTATTGTGTCATTTAACTTTTTGGAGTTATTTTTCAAGTATCATGTCTACACGCGTCAGCTTTTAATGTAATCAGGATTTCTTTTGTAAATTGGGAAATATATTTAATATCTTTGAGCCTATATTAAATAGAACTTTATTGGTGTTTCATTGTTTGCTTTCATAATTAAGGCTTATTTTATTTGTAGTCGTTTTCACAATCTCTGCGGTAAACGCACACAAACACATACACACACGCACGCACACACATATACACACGCATATATGGAAACAAATATATCCTTTTTTTCTTGATGTAATGGTATGTTATTTTTGTTTTTTTTTTACTTCCCTCACTTTCTGTGCATTATATATTATTTTGCACACATATATACGTTTTTGAAGGTTTTATTTTTAATCCTACTTTTTTATTACTACAAATGTAATTATAGCGAATACTTGTATTTCAAATAGATGCCATTTTTGTTTTTAATTAAACGGGCTAATGGGTGTAATACACACTGTTTACACTGAAAATAAAAGTAAGTCGTCTATTTCAAATAGGAGAATCCACTGTAATAACGTTTTAATATATATATATATATATATATATATATATATATATATATATATATATATATATATATATATATATGTTTGTATGTATGTATAATTGTTCGGTCCCACTCATCTGGAGGTATCACCAAAGGTCTGTCAATTTTCTCGTTTTCATTATATTTATAGTAAGTTAAAAAAAAATATGCGCCTTTTTATTGCTTTTTTAGTCGATTTTTTTCGTCTTTGTGTAAGTGTGTGTATAAGTGTGTGTGTGCGTGTGTGTGTATACACCTGTAGATGTGCGTATGTGTGCACATGTGTAGGATATCGTGGTTCAACATATATATATATATATATATATATATATATATATATATATATATATATACACACACACATATAAATATAGTTGTATATTCAGGCAGCAATTCTTCGTTTATGCATGTTTCATTAAAAACGACAGTCAAGGTACTACAGTTAAGCTCTTTATTTAATTTTTCTTGTGTTCGAACAAGAGCTTTTTTTCTGGACAAAGAGTGTTTAAAAAGCTGTTCAAATGTTTTATAGTTCCGAGCGCTTTCGGCTATACCTTTAGCCATTATCAAGGATGGTTCGGTTTTTCAGCTTAATTGGGCATTATGTGTAAGTTTTTGTGTGTTATAGAGATGTTTTTAATTCCCGAATACGGTTAGCACATTGGGGCCTTGTTCTTAGTTAATATTCTTAAGAGTTGGCTTTTTCTTTTTTATTATTATTAAAGCTTCCATAATATTTAATCTTTTTTTACAGGTGCATGAAGTTATTATCTTTATGTTTTCTACTTGTATGTTTCTAGTAGAGTCTGCTAGGTTTGTGTGTGTGTTTAAATAAAACACACATTTGGACAGTTCTTACACACCCTTTGTCCAGAAAAGAAAGCTCTTGTTCGAACACAAGAAAAATGAAATAAAAAGCTTAACTGTAGTATATTGTCTGTCGTTTTTAATGAAACATGCATATATATATATATATATATATATATATATATATATATATATAATGTTGGTGTGTCAGGTGTTACTATCATTAGCTTGTGATTTATTTGCTTAACAATAATAAATATTTGCTCAATTCGTCTACTGAAAGGCCACAAGGTTTTGTGTTTTTTGAAAGATTTTTTGAAATCAGATAGCCAAAATGTCATTTTTAATACTCGATAAATGGTCACTTTTTTTTAATTCGAAAACTAACTACTTATAAAACTGCAATCAAAAAAAAAGTATTCATGCAGAAAAAGTATTAATGTTTAAAGTTCCAAAAAATTATGAGCTACCAACAGGCAGAGAAACTCCAAAGGCAAAAATACTGACCATCACGAAAATCAACTGAGAGGTCTGGCTTTCGTAGAACCTCGATCGCCTACTGATAGTACTAATGTCTTAGTCACTAAACAGTTGAATAGAGAAACACGGGTTCATTAAATACTTAATTAAACAACCTTATTTAATCTAGTAGGTTATTTGATTCCTTTAATTTCAACATTCAAAGCGATAGATTGGACACTTGAATAGCAGCCATTACCTTCGCTATTGTTGTGTCAACAGGATACATAGACAGATGAACAGAGATAAACAGGGTAAAAAGAACTGGATCGAAACAAAAGTTCGTAGCGTTTTAAAGTGAATTGCAAAGACAATATTTACATACCTGTACATTGATTTCTTCAGCCACATATTACATTTCAGTCTCTTTGAAGCAACTTCATGATTCCAATGTCTCAGGACTTGGCATCTTTCTGAATGATCAACTAGTCTAAGACATTTTTAGAGAATTAAATTTCTTCGTACTAAGAGAAATTGGTAAGGATTGAAAAAAATGGTAATCCGAAGGTGCAAAGTCAGTAAAACACTCAAGTCAATTTGATTGTTTGATTTGTTTTTTACGGCTTATCAACACTTTACCGGTTATTTCAGGCCAGACAATATTTTTTTAGCTTGTAAGAAAGATATTATTAGAGATAATAATGATTTACAGATACAAGTCTTACTATTTAACCCATAGCTGGGGATAGAAGCGGTGAATATAACGAAGTCGACTGGAATTATAACTCGGCTCTCCAATTAACAGTTACACCACCCGCACATCCAAACTTACAGTACCTGGTATTTTCAAAGTAGTCACCCATCTAGGTACTGACCAGGCTCGACGTTGCTTAACTTCACAGATGTCCTGGTGGAAAATGGTACCCCTCCGATTTATAAGTTCCAGGAGCTTTTTTATTGATTGCTGCCTTGAATAGGTCGTTATAAGGACAGCCTATTAGTTATGAGCCATGCGTGATGCACACTTAGGCAATTATGTATCTTTCAATACATGACTAACGAGGCAGATATTTTTCCCGCAGCAGGTTGCCATTTCTTACTGCGATAGACCAGTTGCCATCCAGGGTTATAGAACCCGGTCTGTCCTGCTATTTAACCATAGCTGGGGAGGGGAGAAAAGGATTCATTTCTTAAGGGTACGTAAGTGAATGTAATGGATTTGACTGGAATTCGAACTCGGTTCTCCAATTCCTCAATCTGAGCCGCTAACCATTACGCCACCGTAGTACTTGTCTGAATTCAACGTCTGATTTTGCAGAAGCAGCTCGCAAAACACAACACCCGCGTCTGGTCTTACTAGATACACAGTATCACCTTCGAACGGAGATTTACTTTTGCTTTTGGTGTTGTCAATTATGGATCATTTCGTTTACCTAAGGACCTTTTTCGCTCTACACTGTTATAAACAATCTATTTTTCATCGCCTGTGATCACCCTTTTCTAAAATGGGCTGTTTCTGTTGCGTTAGAGCAGAGACTCACATAGAAATGTGGTTCATTAATTATTCCGTTAAAGCGTGAGTCACGAAACAAAATGGTGATTCACGTATCGAAGTCTTTTCAAATGCTTAACAACAGTCATATCAGATTTATGGTGTATCCCTGCGATATCCTTTGTCGTGTAACCTGCATTATTTTTAGTCAGCATTTTTATTTGCTCATCATCAAAGACTGAAGCATTCCAAAATATTTTTAGTTTTCCGGATCAAAATTTCCGCTTCTGAACGACTTACGAAACATACTCTCAACTATGGCACCTTTCCCACAAACGGAACTTTTCCTTTTTGCTGTTTGTACAGACTTTTTCCTTTCTGGAAATAAAAGAATATCAAATTATATATATATATATAATACCGCAAATTGAGTGCTGGTGTTAATAAAATGGTGCGCAACATCGTTTTAACTAACAGTACCTGAACATTGCGCTGTATATGAAACTCAGATTTGTGCTAACGATAAGAAAATATATATATATATATATATATATATATATATATATATATGATAAATTTCATTCACGTGTGAAATGAAACCACGTGTTCAAATGATATCTGTTGAAAATGCTATGAAATAATGTTCCCACTCACTAGATAGATAGATAGATAGATAGATAGATAGATAGATAGATAGATGTGAACTGAGATGGATAGATATATAGATGTGAACAGATAGATAGATAGATAGATAGATAGATAATGATCAGTGGGTGAGTGAATTGAAAAGCGCGACTAAGAGGCAAGCCCTTGTAAATTTTGTTCCCATTCCCAAGAAAGAGTGAAAAGAAAAAAAAATACCTTTGCAGAAAAGTATAACTAAAAAAAGAACAATTCTACAATTTATTACTCTGATTAATAAAGAAAGATAATCGATAAATTGTTTTGCTACTATAATTTTAAGTAAGACATATTGGCATATTTTCGCGATGTAGTTTTTCATACTCTTTGGGTTGAATTTCTTAGATGAAGTATTTTCATTATCAATTTTTAAACAGCTTATCTTTCAATTGTTACTGTTTTGTTTTTTTAAACCAAAACGCTCAATTTTTTTTTAATTCTATTCTTGTTAATTAAGCAGCGTGGATAAGGTAAAAAAAATATCATTTCCGAGCAGGTTTCAACAGACGTCCCATAGTCTTGAGGGCTTGTCCAGCATTAACGACGCCTTTACAAGTTTAGTGATTAGCTACTTTAATAATTAAATAGGCAAGTTTTCTTACGGGAACATTTTATAGTACATGAAATAATGGTGGTGAAAAAGAGTAGATGCATAAAATAACAGACCAATTGATTTACAACGCAGGATTTATTAGACAAATTAATTAAGGGAAAGTTTAAAGCAAGACTTTCTTTTATTAGATGGAAATTGTATACACAACGAAAATATTTATGAATATGTATAGTGGGAACTTATTGTGTTTGTCTATAGCGTTAACAGCCATTTTAGCTTCAACGTGGAAAGTTCATGACACCAGTTCGAAAGAAGAAAAACGCAGAAGAGCGAGAGTTACTTTACGGTGGAGTGATGGATAACGGCTCGGATTGAGGAATCGGTGATCCGAGTTCGAATTCCACTTGAATCCATTACATTCACTTACGTGCTAATACCCTTGGGAAAGGTATGAATCCTCTGCTTTTCCTCCCCAGCTATAGGTAAATAGCATGACAGACCGGGTTCTATAGCCTTGGATGGCAACTGGTCTACCGCAAAAAGAAATGGCAACCTACTGCGGGAAAATATCTGCCGCGTATGTCATGTATCGAAAGATACATGATCGCCTAAGAGTGTATCACGCATGGCACATAACTGTACTGTATTTTTATATTCGCGAACTGCTGCTGATCAGTTTTATTTTAAAGCTGCTACTGCTGCTATATTTAAGATCACTACAATAGTCTTGCCAGATACCAGCGTTAAAAATTTTTAACTTCATCTTTTTTAATCCGCATCATTTGCTGACTACCTAATAGTAGTAGATGTAATAGTCTTTAATCTTTTCTTTATAAAAATTGTAATGATTTTTTTTTCAGTTGAATTTAACTTGTTCGGTGACTTTTTTGTGTAAGTTCTTCTCAGCTATGTTCAACAAGCGGTAAAGTTAAACGCTATTTCCAAGTAATTTTTTTTTCTCATGATTGCTTTGCTATATTCAGATAAATCTTGTTATATGTTATGTAACATGTTAAGATTCCCTTAGCAGTATAGCCACAACCTTACCACGCTAGGTATTGCTGCTGTGGTTTCCATACCATCTGCGAGTGACCCTTGAACATTAAACACAATGGAATGGTCATGTCTAAAAGGCTGTCCCTGGAATTGGATATTAATTTATTTAATTATTAGCTTCGGTGACATATAAAGTTCCGGAATATTTCAATTCTAGTGGCAATAGCAGAAACTGTCGTCAGAAATTGTCGACTGAGTGGATAGGTACTTATTAGAATCAGAAAATTCCCTCTAACTCCAAATGATTGGAAGGAGACAAGTGAGAAAGTGAGAACTTTTCAAAATTAAGAAAAAGAAAAGGGATAAGAAAAAATATATAAAAAACGGAAAAGGCTATGTTGAAAATTTTCGGGGTAAAGAAAGAACATCATCTAACCTATTAGGATCGTAAGGGTGTCACATGTACTACAGCCGTGGCAACGAAAGGTGTGGCTAGAGCAAGATAACGTGATGGAGCTCATCTCTCTTCAGGCTGGTTCTGAATTAAGAGTTTTCCTTCTCCTAGACAGAATGACCTACCAAGGTTAAAGATCTCAGTCCGACCTACTATTTAATCCATAGCTGGGAGAAGATGAAGTTATGCATTTTCCAGGGACATTAGTGCGAGGTGAGTGAAACAAACTCTAGCAGAATTCGAACATGGCTTGCTAATCTCACTTTCTTACACCAACCGCACATTCAAAAGGAAGAGTAAAATGATTAGAAGAAATAATATATAAGAAAAAAGAAAATGAAGGCGAATATTGTAAAGCAAACTTTGAAAAATACACACACACACACAATCACACACACATACAAACACACAAACACATTATAGTGGACACTTCGTATTAAAAAAATAAACGTACCACTTTTATTTTTAACAGTATCGGGCGTTTATTTAAAATACGAAGTGTTCATTATAATAAGGTCTGAAGTAATAAAAATGTCGGATTAACACACACAAGCACATTCACACCATATATATATATATATATATATATATATATATATATATATATATATATATATATGAGTGAACATTTAAGTCAATACCAAGTGCCGACAGTCTATTTTGACCATTGCGTTTAAACATGTAATAGACTGTCCCCGATGAGTGTTGACTTCAATGTCCCTTTCATATTTACATACGCTCTCTCACTGATAGTGAGAACTTTAAATCATAAATATTGCATACCTTTAAGCTATATTTTTTCATATATATATATATATATATATATATATATATATATATATATATATATATATATATATATATATATAAAGAAGAAAGACAAAGAAGAACAAAAGGATAATAAAAAAAAGAAAAGTCAAAAGGAGAAAAAGAAAAAGACAAAGAGGAAGAAAGACGACAGAAGAAAAAAAAACAAAGGTACAGAAGACAAAGAGGAAGAAAATGAAAAAAGAAAAACAGTAAGACTAAGAAGAAGAAAAAGACAAAGACGAGTAGAAAGAGAAAAATATGTGAAACAAAACAAAGAGAAAAACTTAAAAGAATAAAGAGTAGAATAAATGAAGAAACGATTGTAAAAACAGTCAATGCAACATAACATAAAACATTATTTTGGACTTCAGCATTTTGCCCGCCACTTCAACTCTCCAGCGACATTGCTACGTGTATCTCTGTTCGTAACCTAAAATTTATGTCGAGTTGTTTGTTGTCTAACAGGAAAAGAATCTGCGACCTTCTTTCGGTTCGTGCCAAAGACGTCAACAACCAGTAAAACAGGCAGAAGAATCCGGTTTAGCGAAACGGTCAGCACTGACTTGGCAGGTGCGAAATTTGGAAGATCTTTATTTATACCTCCAGACGCTTCTGTCATGTCTTAAGGATCCGCAGACATGATAGATATTTTTCTTCGTTTTTGCTTTCTTTATGTTATGACTAATACGACCTCTGGTGTTCGCAAACAACATTCTATTCTCTCGCAGTGAAAACAACGAGTCCAAGAAGGAAAAAAAAAGAAAGAAAGAAAAGAGGTTTCGTACAATAGAATTCTTCGTAGATTAGAATTCTTCTTCTTTTATGTGCCGTGTCCCTTCAGGACGTAGGCGATGATGGTCCTCCAAATCTTCCTGTCCCTTGTAGTTCCTAATAAGTTTTTTTTTATTCTGTTCTACCATCCATTTGCTCAAGCCCATCGAGTATACTATTCATTGTTCTCCTTTGTCCCTCTTTCTCGTAATCTGTCCCGTGAGTATCAGATTTTCCAAACCCTATTTCCTCATTACGTACCCCAGAAATTTCAGCTGATTCTTCCTGATGTTCAGGATGTTTCCTTTTTGTTTCCATTCTTTCTTTCTAAAACCTCCTTCTTGCTTCACATGTTCGGTCCATGGTATCCTCAGCATCTTTCTGTAGAACTACATTACTGTTGCTTCAAGTCTCTTCTTCATCGTTGAGGAGATTATCCAGCATTCGCTTCTATACAGGAGAACAGATATCGTGTAACCTTTCAGCACTCTCTTTTTGTTTACAACATACTACTACTAATGATATTTCTACTAGTACTGCTAATTATAATAATCACCCGAGTCTTTGAGTTTTCACACCAATAGTTAGGATCTAGTACAAAGAACTTTGCCGAGTTCGAATTCCAGTCGAATCCGTTACATTCACTTACGTGCTAATATCCTTACGAAAGGTATGAATCCTCCTCTTCTCCTCCCCAGCTATGGATAAATAACGAGGGACACAGCTCTTAAAATACGGTTGACTGTTTAAAGGGAGATAATCAGTGTATGTCCTAAAATGAATGTGAACTGAAACTTAGATTTAAAGGAAAAGTAAGTTATTCAGGATTACAATATTTTAAGAGAAACATCTTTCTATACATACAGCTAGACATAAGAGAATTCTGCTTGTTAAGTAGATTTAAATTATTAATATTTTTGTGGATGAATATAAATTGCACCTGTCTCCCCTGTCTGGAAATGGATTGATTTTAGCGACCAATCCCCAATTTACTGCGGTTGTATAGCTATCTGTTTATATATATATATATATATATATATATATATATATATATATATATATATATATATATATATAGATAGATAGATAGATAGAGAGAGAGAGAGAGAGAGAATGAGAGAGAGAGAGAATGCCTGATATGAAATATCCGAACAAAATCTGTTAAAGGGAATTTGTGGAAACCTTTTGGGTGTTTAATGTTTTTCGTTAACGTTTCGCCTCGGACGAGTATACTCAAAATATCTGCAAATATCCAAAGAAAATAGTCATTATGACAAAATTGCTATTTTAATCAATTTGAAAAATGTTTAACAATTTAAATTTTTCGTTGTATTTCTCTTCCCAAATTAATTCAATGTTTTAAAATGTTTCCATACATTACATAGCTCATACGAACTGAAAAGTTTGCCAAGTTACTCGCTAGCGCCCTTTCACCTATGGATCTTTAGACAGAGGGAAGCCACAGCACGTCTGTGAGAAAGTGCCTGTAGACAAGCTGCTAGATCAGGACCTATCACATTGCGTATCAATCTCTGAATTTTTGTCGAGAACCTCGAGATGAACAGCGGAGGCTTCAGACCATGTATGGCAGCAGTA